ACATACACACACATACACACACACATACACACAGGCACACATACACACAGGCACACACATACACACACACATACACACACATGCACACAGGCACACATACACACACCACACACACACACACATACACACACATACCCACAGACACACATACACACAGATACACACAGGCACACATACACACACATACACACAGGCACACATACACACACATACACACAGGCACACATACACACACATACACACAGGCACACACATACACACAGGCACACATACACACACACATACACACAGGCACACATACACAAACACATACACACACACATACACACAGGCACACATACACACACATTTTTCATTAAAGATTAAAATCCAATTAAATTGGCTTGCTCTAAATCATGTGCCAACAAGGGAAATGGGATCAAGTCTCTGGATAGTTTGAGCCCCTGTCCAGCTGTTCTTTCTAATTGTTATTTCTTGGTCAGCATCATCCTAAATGGTAGCAGCACAAACGACAAATGATTAAACCCCTAAGCCAGTGGCTCTCAACCCTCCCAATCCTGTGACCTTTGATACAGCGCCTCATGTTGTGGAGACCCCTCCAACCATAAAATTACTTTGTTGCTACTTCCCAGCTATAATTTTGCTGCTGTTAGGAATCATAATGTAAATTTTGGATATCCAATCCCAAAGAAGTTGAGAACCACTGTCCTAAGTTCTTACTTTGGTCAAAATCTTGGTTTCCCCTGAGAAGAATTTTTAAGGTAACACAGAACTCTATGAAGATGCTTTCTTTTTTCCATCACAACATCACAATGGAGTTCAGGATTGAGAAGTAACATACTCAAGAGAGAGGGGAGGGAGGGGGAGGGTTGGTTACAACTGGGCTGTCTGTGTAAGTTCTCAAGTTCTGTGTCCTGACATCATAGGTATCAGCAGTGATGGAACAAATGCAGAAACTATGGTGTATAGAGACACCGGAGGTTTAGTCAGCCATAGAGGAAAGTGAAGTCATGGTTGGCACTGGAGGGCATCATCTGGGGTGAGGCCAGTTTGGATGCTTTCTCTCATAAATCTAAAGAAGGATGCCATAGGAGAGAAGTAGGGAGGAAACCCAATGACAACAAATTTTGTGTTAAAACTGCCCTAATGAAACTGAATACTAGCGATATGAGAAAAGTCAATAGAGGCAATTATTTCATAGGTCTAATAGGTGACCACTGTGTCTTTCCCATTCTCTATCAGATGGTTCCTCACCCATGCACATCCGAGCCCCACTAACTGGACTTTAGAAGAACACGAAGTTGGGAGGATGGTGTGTTGCATGGGTTACAGGGAGAGGGTCGGGTAGATATGATCAAGATATTATATCCATGTGCTAAATTGAAAAATAAAAAGAACTAAATTATCTACTCTGCATAAGTAAATATTTTTTTTTCTAAACAGAGTTTCTCTGTAGCTTTAGAGCCTGTTCTGGAACTAGCTCTTGTAGACCAGGCTGGCTTCAAACTCACAGAGATCCGCCTGCCTCTGCCTCCTGAGTGCTGGGATTAAAGACATGCATCACCACTGCCCAGTGGTAGATAATTTTCCTTGGATCTCAAGATTAAAAATGAAATAAGAAAGTAACAGGAATATTATGGCTATGGGACGGGAAAAGAAGGTGTTGTAAGAAGGGAGTAGTAGGGAGGAGAATATTATTGCAGTATATTTTATGCACACATGGGAATGCAATGCCAAGCCCAGTGCTTTAGATAGTAACTTTTAATAAAGTTAATCAAATTTTAAAATTCTATATTATTTCTGCCATTCCTTAATACTTTTCAGAAGTGAGGTTTGGTCAAATTTCCACTTTATGGGTTTAAATACTGACTTGTAAAAACTATCAAGAACTTGATAATTTTTTTGGTCAAATTTTCATAAAAAAAGATGATACTCTTTCCCAGAACCTTCATGGTAGAAGTCTCTCTCTGTGTCTGTCTGTCTCTCTGTGTAGGGCTGGGGACCCGACTGACTCAAGGCTTGCACATGCTAGGCTGGTTGTCTCCCACTAAGCTGTATCTTCAGTCCCTGAAGACCGTCAGAAAAGTTCCCCCTGTCTCGTCACCTGTGGTCTATGCCTAGCCTCTGTCTTAGGACTCCACCATATCAGAACAGCAACATGGGACTGCTTTTGTCTGCTGCTGAACATGAGCGGCATCTGGGTGGTAGGTCTTTCCACAAACTTACACAAGTGCCCTCAAGAGTTAGGGTCAGACTGTCTGCGAAGGGGTTCTATTTGCTGTTGCAAAGGAGTCTTCATCCTCCAGTTTCAGGACAGATGCCAAAGCTCTGAAGCATCTGGCAGCAGCTTCCCTGCCAAGAATTCCTGTTGTGCTCCCCTCTCCCTTGTTCCCCCCACCCCGGCTTCTCTGGCTCTGCCTTTGTGTTTCATTCTGTTTCCCTTGCAAAGCAACCCCACTCACTGCTTAACTCTTCTATGAATCTCTTTCTGGGCAACCCTTCCTTTCTAACAGATTGAAAATTGGCACAGCACTCCACAAAATCATACAAATGTCTACTAGTGCCTCAGCACATCGGGAGAAACAGAAGACAATTCCATCTGTTTTCTAAATATGAACCACTCAGTTGCTGTGTATACCCTTATTCTGTCTGCTCTCTAGAGGGCTATAGGCCATGGTGTTTTCCTAAACCTGTGCCCTGGAAAGGCTACTAACGCTCTTTCAAAGTGCGAGACAGTCATCTACTCTGGCGCGTATCATTTCTCTGCCTCTCAAGGAGGGAGACACATCATGTTATTAAAGTCTTTACTATAAGGCGTGACCTGGTAAGTTAAATGGCTACAGGTTGTAAACCTCTTGTCTTAAATAATATTCAGAGTTTTTTTCTCACCAAGGCTATTGGCTAGACCTCTTCAATAGTTAATTCTACTCCCTTTCACAAACGCTTTTGAAGGGAGGCTTTGAACAGAGAGAGCAGGACACAAGAGCTATGGATGCATTGCCACTAGAGAAGCTGAGCTTTTTTTAGCATCAAGATGTTTGAAAACCTTGAACTCATATATCTCCAGGAATCACTTCATCTATTTCAACCCGTTTTGTCTTCTCTGTAATGTAGGATCATTTCTTTTCTTTGAAATGGAGAGATTCCATAATAGTCTTCCATGCTTGCCCAGCTTCTCATCTTCAGGATGTTAGCTGAACCTCTGCTGAAAACAAGAGGTTGAAGTCACCCTGACAGACTAGCTCTCCCTTGTAAGTGCATAATCTTTAAGAATCCCCCTGACACCTTCAGGTTGTCAGTCTTGCTATCTCCACCCACATTGCATACATTTTTATCATGTAGTTGTCATGAACATTAAATCACTATCATTCAAGTATTTGGAGCTGGTACCTAACGAACAATTACGTGTTCTACACAATTTTTTTCTATAGCAAAGCATATATACCTGTTTTTACATACATGGATTTCTAGCGCTCTCAGGCTGGCTGAGGTGGGATGACCACAAGTTTGAGGCCAGAATGATCTCAACTAAAGAAACAGCATATTCATTCTGCCGTTCCTTGTATTGGTTTTTGGATAAGGTCATATATCCCAAGCTGGCTTTGAACTTGCTGTCTAGTGGAGGATGACCTGAGCTTATGATCCACCTGCCTCTATATCCTACGTACTGAGATGTCAAGTGTGTGCCACCCTCCCTCTTCTAGTAGTTGCCTGGGTTCAAGCCCAGGGCACCTGCTGGCATGTTAGGCAAACACTTGACCAGCCGAGCCTTACCCTTGTTTTCACTCCCTCAAAGAATCTCTCTGGATCATCTCACCTACCGGTTGATGGTAGATAAGTGCAGATCCTTTCTGGCTGATGCTAAACGTGGAATAGGCTTTGGTGGTGGCCAGTAGAAACAGCTGGACCTAAGGTGGTGACATCAAGGATTGGAGCCTTTTGGTGTATCTTGGGAGAAGTTGTCTTTGGTATTAAACACACACACACACACACACACACACACACACACACACACACACACCTGGGTTTCTGCTCCTGAATGTCCCAGTTTCTCAGTTGGCTATACTGCGAGAGAAGGCAAAGGAACAAGTTTAAACCAGCTCTCTAGACCTGAGAGGATTCCCTGGTCCCTGTGGATTTAGAAGAAGTAAAGAAAGGAAAGCTTCAGAGAAGATGCAAGGTAAGGACTGACATCTGAAGCTGTCCTATGACTGCCACACACACATTGCAGTGCGTGCATGTGGACACACACAAATCTATGCACACAAACAAAGGAATTTTGTATCACATTTTACTTGGTTTTTAAAATTAAATATTCATATGAGTTAAGCTTATTTTTATGGTAAAACATACAAGCTCTATAAATGGCTCAACTGTTAAAAGTATTCACTGCTCTTGTAGAGGGCTCAAGTTCAAGACCCAGCATCCATGCTGAGTAGCTCATAACTAACTGCTGGTAACTACACTCCAGGAGACTCTGATGCCTCATGAGTTCTATGGGCACCTGCATTCCCATGCATATACCCCACACATAGACATACAAGTGTATACATACTTAAAATAATAAAAGTTATTTAAAACATGACTTATCTCTTTTTATCTCATATTTATCTTATAATTAAACTATTATTATATAAGTACTATTGATAGGAATTCATTTGATTCTCTCTTGTTGCAAATGATGACTCAGTTAACTTGTAATTTTTGTACAGTACTCCTCTATCCTTGTAGACTCTCACAGGCTCACTTAATAAATATTTATGAGCCAATCATCAATAAAAATTACAGGACTATGAAATATGCATGTGTGAATGAATTTAAGCATATAAAAATGAGGGTGACAAAATATGTGTAATTAATCAGGAGCTTTGGCCATTTTCTCCTAGTGATTTTCCAAATATGTCCTCTGGGTTTTAGTTAGCATTTCAAGGTTACTTGTGGTGGTTGGGCCATGAAGATTTGAATGAAGGTGTGAGAGGTTTGCGTACAAAAGGTGATGATCAAGGCCAGTGAAGGGTCTTCTTCAGCACAGTGTGGACCTCCTTATTCCTCAGACAGTAGATGATGGGGTTGCAGAGGGGCGTGACCACCGTGTAGATGACGGACAGCACCTTGTTGAGGTCCATGGACTTGATGCGACTGGGGCGGCAGTAGATGAAGAGAGCTGCTGAGTAGAAGATGCCCACCACCACCAGGTGGGAGGCGCACGTGGAGAAGGCCTTGCGTCGGGCAGCAGCTGATGGCATCCGGAGAACGGCCATCCCAATGGCTGAATAGGAAGCCAAGGATACCAGGAGTGTCCCACAGAAGATGACAATGGCTGAGATGAAGTCTACCAGCTCTGTGAGGGCCACGTGGGTGCAGGATAGGTTGAGGAGAGGGGAAACATCACAGAAAAATTGGTTGAGGACATTGGGGCCACAGTAGGACAGGCTTGCAATGCATTTTGTCTTTATTGCTGAGACCACCAGCCCACCGAGCCATGAAGACAAGGCTAAGGCCAGGCAGACCTGGGGCCTCATGAGCAAGGGGTAGTGCAGTGGGCGGCAGATGGCCACATAGCGGTCATAGGCCATGGAGGCCAGGAGGGTGCACTCTGTGCAGATGAGAGAGACAAAGAAGAAGAGTTGGGTCATGCAAGTTACAAAGGAAATATGGTAGGGCCCCGTCCACAGCCCCACGAGCAGGGTGGGCATGGTGGCAGACACATAGCACATCTCCAGGCAGCTGAGGTTGCCCAGGAAGAAGTACATGGGCTTGTGGAGCTCGCTGTGACTGCAGATGAGGTAGATGATGAGTGTGTTCTCCAGGAGCGTCAGCAGGTAGAGAGTCAGGAAGACGACAAACAGGGCATCCCTTATCCCCAGCCTTGTGGGAAAGCCTAACAGTACAAATTGCTGGACTCTGGTCATGTTGGTCAACTCAAGTGATGTCTCCATCTGTGGAGAGCAAATGACATTATTTATAAACAAGCACAATGGCACAAGCTTAGGAGGATGCCCACATTTCCTGGATAAATTATTGGTGCTGGCAACTGTCCAGAAAGGCAGAGTGTTAGCCAGTTTTTGAAAGAAACTGTAGCCCGGTTCCTATTTGTATTGGTTACTTTTCTTGTTGCTATGATGAAACATCATGGCTAGGGCAAGTTAAGGAAGAAAGAGAGCGCTTACTCCAGCTCAAAACTCCAGGGTGGTTGGATGGGGGAAGAGAGAGTTTACTCTAGCTCACAGCTCCAAGGGGTGGGTGGGGAAGACTTTGTCGTGGTAAGAAGCTGTGGCGTCAAGTGGCAGACACGGCAACAGGAACAGGAAGCAGAGAACATACATCCTCAATGGCAAGCTTGAAACAGACAACAAACTGCAAGTGGACTGGGGCTCTGCACTCTCCAAACCCACCCCCAGTGATGCACTTTCTCCAGCAAGGCCATTCCTCCTAAATTTCCCCAAAAAGCATCACCAGCCAAGTGAGATGAGGTCAAATACTTGATTCTATGCAAATTTTTTTTTCATTCAAATCTCCATACACATCCCCTAAATCTGTGAACACACACACACACACACACACACACACACACACACACACACACGCAAATGTGATTTTTGAAAAAGGATTTGCAACATGACTCAGCTTACCCTCTAAGATTCACGTGGTGGGAGCGAGCCTGAAACTTTTGACCTTGCAGGATAATGTCTTCAAATAAAACAAGAGTAGTATTTATTTGTTGTAATAAATGAAGCAATGAATGACAAGCTCTGTACCAAATAAGGAACTAGAAATGTCATCTGTCTAGATATTTTGTCTATCGAGACAGGGTTTCTCTGTAACTTTGGAGCCTGTCCAGGAACTTGTTATGTAGACCAGGCTGTCCTCAAACTCCCAGAGACCTGCCTGCCTCTGCCTCCCGAGTGCTGGATTAAAGGTGTGTGCCACCACTGCCCGGCTCTAGATGGTTTTTTTAATTTTCTTTTTAAACTCCACACAGAAAGTTAGTCGGATCTATAAATCAAGAGTGGTACAAGAGTGTTAAATATTTTTTCTTCAAATAATATCTCTCTTCTCTTAGTGTGATTTTATTTTCTATTGTTATAGTTTGGAGCTTGGGAGATAGCTCAACCAGTGAATTGCTTATCTTGTAGGCATTAGGACTTGAGTTCTGTGCTAGAACATGGGCATCGATCATGCATGTTTGTGATCTCATTTGTAAGGCGATGGCTGCAGGGGGATCCTTGGGCTCTTTGACCGGTCACACCAGCCTACTTGGCAAACTGTAAGCTGGTGAGCAGCTGTGTCTCAAGAGCATGTGGAGGGTATGTGAGAGATAGCTCAGCGATTAAGAGCACTCACTCCTTTTTCAAAGGCAATGTTGATGCCGTTTTTGCTGCTTTTCCTCTTTCATTGCATGCAGGATCCTTTGCAAGCAGCTAACATCTTTGGGTATAGCGTCTCTCAGAGTCAGACAGGCCCATAACATCTGACGCAATGTTTATCAGAAAGTTTGAAAATTGTGGAACGCATTTATTATTTACTCTTTTTAGTTCTTCTGTATCTCTAAAATAAAAAGCATTGTCTTAATTATAAACAATAAAGCCTAGTTCTTTTTCTGTTGCATTAGGAATGCACAAGACTCAAAGTGACACATCTTTTGTTCCAAGTCACAGTCTGGGAGTGAAATGAAATGTGACCGTGCTTCAGCACTGGGTGAATTCCATTGTCCCCCACTCTCATGCTCAAGACAGGAACCCAAGCACTCTTCCACCTCAGAGACTTGGTTAGAGTGAAAAGGTTCTCCTGGATGCAGAGAACCATGCAGAAAATTAACTATGACATTTACTGAGGTCCATAGGTATTCAGCGGCTTGGGATGCTGGTTTCTTGTAAGAAACAGATAATGAATAAGTGAGTGAATTAAAAACAGAAGCAATTTCAAACGAGGTAAACTATGGTGGTCCTGGAAGAGCAAGATGCAGGCCACTGAAGCCGAATGGTTGAAGAGGTAACCCCTGAGCAGGGAGAACCAACTGACCACGAAAGCAGGTGAGCCAGGTGTGGTTCAATCAAGATGCTACGGAGCAGTGGGATGCTTCAGGGAGGGGAATCTTTCCCTTACTCCCTCCCCTCTCAGATTCTCCATCTATTGAGCTTCTAGACTATTCTCTTCTTTGGGTGATGTGTTCCAGTCTCTCTATGGTGTCTGCTCCTTGATTTGTATATTAAAAGGTGTCATCAGTGGGAAAAACAGTGTTCATGTTCCCTCTGACCCTTCTCACCTGGACTAATTTCAGACTGAAGAGGTGAACACCTTCAGCCTCCAGATTTGAGCCCAGGACCCCTGTGGGATTGGGGGACCCTTGGATCCATTTTCATACTGATGAAAAAATGGGACAAAGTTTAGACTGATTCTAGGCTAACTTGAAGATGAGTTACACAGTAAACTGTTGATAAGTGTAAGGACTAATTTCATTCTTCAGAATACAGTCTCTCTCTCTCTCTCTCTCTCTCTCTCTCTCTCTCTCTCTGTCTGTCTCTCTCTCCAACAATTAAAGAAAAAGAGGCTGTGAAATTGAAAGAGAGCTCAAGGGCAGGGGTGGTCATGGTAAGGTGGTTTGAGGGATGAAAGGGGAATGATGTAATTATGATCTCAAAAAATATTAAAAATTCACTCATCAATTTATGGACACATAAGTTGTTCTCTTTTCTGGACTTAGGGGATAGTGTTGAAATAACCATTAAGCTCTGAATTAAAAACAAACCAGGCTTGGTGGTTCATGCTTGAAACCACAGCAGTGGGAGGCAGAAACAGGCAGGTCCCTGGGGTTTGCTAGCAAGTTCTAGGCCAGTGAGAGACCCTGTCTCCAAAAACAAGGTAGACAGTTCCTGAGGAGCAACATCTGGGATTCTCCTCTGCCCCTAAAAGCACGTGTACACGTGTTCATAGGCATCTGCACACACAAACACATGCATCTGTACCAGTGAGCACTCACACACATGAGAAAGAAAAACTTAGATTAATTCTAATCCTTGTGTCCAGTCACTTTTCTCAGTATTCTAAGTGACTCTTTTTTTTTTTAAATAATTTTTTTTATTAAAAAAAGAAGAAAAAAAAACATAAACAAAAAACAAGTTTCCACCTCCTCCCAGCCTCCCATTTCCCTCCCCCTCCTCCCACCCTTCTCCCCCTCCTCCCACCCTTCTACCCCTCCCCCCACTCCTCTCCCCCTCCCTCTCCAGTCCACAGAGCAGTCCAGGTTCCCTGCCCTGTGGTAAGTCCTAGGTCCTCCCCCCCCGTCCATATCTAGGAAGGTGAACATCCAAACTGGCTAGGCTTCCACAAAGCCAGCACATTAAGTAGGATCAAAACCCCGTGCCATTGTCCTTGGCGTCTCATCAGCCCTCATTGTTCGCCATGTTCAGAGAGTCCGGTTTTATCCCATGCTTTTTCGGTCACAGTCCAGCTGGCCTTGGTGAGCTCCCAGTAGATCAGCTCCACTGTCTCAGTGGGTGGGTGCACGCCTCGTGGTCCCGACTTCTTTGCTCATGTTCTCCCTCCTTCTGCTCCTCGTTGGGACCTTGGGAGCTCAGTCCAGTGCTCCAGTGTGGGTCTCTGTCTCTGTCTCCATCCATCACCAGATAAAGGTTCTATGATGATATGCAAGATATTCGTCAGTATTGCTCTCGGATAGGGTCATTTCAGGTTCCCAATCCTCAGCTACCCAAGGAACTAACTGGGAACCTCATGTTGGGCACTTGGGAGCCCCTCTAGGGTCAAATCTCTTGCTCACCCTAAAGTGGTTCCCTTAACTAAGAATTGTGGTTCCGTGCTCCCCTATCCACCTTTCCTTTATCCCAATTCTCCTGATTCCCCAAATCCCCCCTCCTTCCCTTCTACCTTTTCTCTCCCCATCTCCCCTTACCCCCATCCCACCCTACCCCCAAGATCCTAATTTTCTCCCCGGCAATTGGGTCTACTTCCCTTAGCCAAGAGGATAACTATATGTTTTTCCTTGGGTTCACCTTCTTACTTAGCTTCTTTAGGTTCACCTATTGTAGACTCCGTGGCGCTAATTTATGGCTAGAAACCAATTATGAGCGAGTACATCCCATGTTCAGCTTTTTGGGTCTGGGACACCTCACTCAGGATAGTGTTTTCTATTTCCATCCATTTGCCTGCAAAATTCGAGAAGTCATTGTTTTTTACCGCAGCGTAGTACTCTAGCGTGTATATATTCCATACTTTCTTCATCCATTCTTCCATTGAAGGGCATCTAGGTTGTTTCCAGGTTCTGGCTATTACAAATAATACTGCTATGAACATAGTTGAACAAATGCTTTTGTCATATGATAGAGCATCTCTTGGGTATATTCCCAGGAGTGGTATTGCTGGGTCCAGGGGTAAGTTGATCCCGAATTTCCTGAGAAACCGAAACACTGACTTCCACAGTGGTTGCACAAGATGGCATTCCCACCAGCAATGGATGAGGGTACCCGTTCCTCCACAGCCTCTCCAGCAAAGGTTATCCTTGGTGTTTTTGACTTTAGCCATTCTGACAGGTGTAAGATGATATCTCAAAGTTGTTTTGATTTGCATTTCCCTGATTGCTAAGGAAGTTGAGCACGACTTTAAGTGTCTTTTGGCCATTTGAACTTCCTCTGCTGAGAATTCTCTGTTCAGTTCAGTGCCCCATTTTTTAATTGGGTTAATTAGCATTTTAAAGTCTAGTTTCTTGAGTTCCTTATATATTTTGGAGATCAGACCTTTGTCTGTTGTGGGGTTGGTGAAGATCTTCTCCCAATCAGTAGGTTGCCTTTGTGTCTTATTGACTATGTCCTTTGCTTTACAGAAGCTTCTCAGTTTAAGTAGGTCCCATTTATTCAATGTTGCCCTTAATGTCTGTGCTTCTGGGGTTATACATAGGAAGCGATCTCCTGTGCCCAGCTCCTGTAGGGTA